ATGGTTAGTGGTGTTAGCTTTTGTAGACACACTTATTCTTATATTACATAAGCCTAGTTTGAAGAGACTACAAAAAGCATGGTCATATAGTACACTATAGGAATGGAATTGGCAAGGCAAAACAAACACACACATTTATGCACTTTAAGGGCCTGTGGAGACAGGAATTTTAAAAAGAAATGAAAACTATTTACTTGAAAGAGCTTGCTAACGTTTCCAAGGAGCAGAGCCTTATTAGATTTCCCAAGCCCCTCCCATGCTGTTTTCTGGGCAGCATGTATGCAGAGATATGCTCATATGCATTCGCATCTATGCTCAGACATCACCTCCCAGGAAGGCCTGCTCAGTCAGTCCTTCTCTATGCTTCAGGGGGCACCTTCTTCATGCTGCACACCGGGGCTTCTTCGAGTGCCTTTCATATCTGCTTGCGTGCCTGGCTCATTCATTATCAGAGCGTAAACTTTTTGAGAGTGAATGTGTGCTTTGTCTCATATCCTTGTCATCTAACCTAGAACCCGCCATAGAGTAAGGGTTCAATAAATGTTTCTTTAAACTCTCACCTCTCAAACTGGGAGGTAGGAATCTCTCTGCCAAAGCGTCACTAATAATTGCCAAGGCAAACATAATGCAATCAGGCTGTTCTGTTGCCATCTAAGAAGTCATTCCTTTAAAATGCCAGTGAAGACAGGAAAGTCCAAGAAACATTCCTCCGGAAACACATGCAAACATTCATTCTGGAATTCCTTGGCATTCTCTCATATGAATAGCTCAGAGGGAGCCCAGCAGAGAGGAAAATGAAACCAGAGACTAACATTTGCTCATAGAAACTTACAGGCCTTAATATAGGCAGTGCTGGGAGGTCAAGGTCAAGTGGATGAACAGGATGAAGAATTTTCAGTAGGAAAATTCTGCAAGTCCTACAAACACATTCAAGTCTGCTGCAGAAACTGGTCCATATACTAATGAAATCCTTTTTAACTAAGACTTACTGGACTCTTACTCTATATTACCTTTTGCTCTGACCAATAGAGCCCAAGAGGAATAAGGTTTTGCCTTGGCCTAAGCTCCTTTCAGTAGGCAAGGAAAGCACTGAACGATGAGCATTGATGCACTGAATTCTGTGCTTTACTAACAAGATGGACTGCAAAGCATAGGGAGATGGTTTCAGTAGGAGTGAGATTTTGCCAGCCTGAGATAGGGATATAATTATGTTCGGGAGACAAAAAGGAGTTTTAGGAAGAGGAATTCATTAACATAAGCAATGAGAGCACAAGGTGTTTAAGGAAGACCAAATGAGGTGCATGTGAATCCCAGCATGGCCATGGTTAGAGGGGAGGGTGAATTCAGCAACGTGGGTGCCACAAGTCAAGTTAAGGAGCCTTCACTTGTTCTCTTAAGAGACCCTGGGTTCTTGTAAACAGACTTTCAAAGAGCAGAGAGACTAGCTTAGATCTATTCTTTATCACCCCAGTGGGCTGGCTCACATGGGATGTGTAAGAAGGGGGAGAGCTACTTCAGGTAACAATTGAACACGGTTAATCATCTTGGCAAAAGGAGTTGAAATCTTTAATTAGGGATAAGATCAAATGAGTGAGGTGAGGACAGAGATTTAAAGGACATTTCATAAATGGTATTGATAAGCCCGGAGGAGGAAGGGCGAAGGAAGGCTCCATGCTAAAACCAAGGTTTGCAGTTTAGAGAATGAGGTGGATGGTTATGGCATAAACAAAAATAGGGATTCCCAGCTGACTTTCAGGCAGATTAAATGCAGAATTTGTAAGTAAAGCTAAATTTATAAAAAGCAGATAGATTTTACCTAGGCGTCTGAATCTACACTGAATAAAGAATGTTTCCTAAAGAAAACATTTTAACATTGTGGGTCATTATGGAGACAAACAAGCCTGTACAAAGTGATAAAAAAATTAAAGGTTCAATTTATGATTTTAAATAATGTGTATATAGTGCAGAGAGAGAGGAGACCCACACATTTGATCCCCAAAATACAAAGTTGAGTTTATTGCTTGCTTAAGCAAGGGAGAACTTGGCTAGTTTTATTAAGCAAAGAAAAATCTTACAAAGGGTTTGGGGAAGAGCTTGTTTTGGGTAGCGTTGGTTACAAAAGCAAGAGAAGTTTGCCATAGTCTTGGAAACAGGGTTTTGTGTTGGTGACAGAGGATGGGGTGAGTTGATTACAGCCTTACAAGCATGTTCACTAGAGTGTGTGTGCCACTCAGTGGCTGGCTTTGAAAATGTAAGGCTGCCGCTGATTGGTTTTCAGAGCTGCTTTCACTGCAGCAAGTCCTCATGAATTGATTAGACAGATTTAAAATCGTTTTTGGTATTTGCTTGTTACCATAGCCCTTTAACTGCAGTTTATTGATTTAACAGGTTTAAAACTAGTTTCTAGTCTTTACTAGTTAGCAAAGCTCTAGAACTCTCAGGCTTTTCCTGGGAGCATAGGGACTTTAGTTTTTCTTTAATTATTCTTAATAGATACAAGACCAATTTAATAACAACTTAATAGTCCATTTCCTTGCACTACTACTCTGAACATCTAAAAATCAAAAGCATCTCCATTTTTAATTTCTTATAAAAATAGGATATCAAGCAAGAAAAGATTTCCAATATTGCCAAGTGTTTTGAATTTCTATGATCGTACCAATTAATCTACCATCAATTGCCTAGCACCTAACATATCTTCATATTTTGCCCATTTTCATGGTGTTACGCAGTGTCTCGTTCTAGAGAGAAGATTTCAAATTCAGTATTGAAGTGAGACAGTTGAAATTCAGAATGATTCCTTACTGAGTTTGTAGGTATTTGTGCTGTGGGTTTTCCTTTGTAAATTATTGGTGTGCCTGTCAAACTGTTTAGATACTTTGAATTCTAAGGTAATTTTTGGTAAGGCACCATTTGGTTCACTTACAGCTGATGTCTGGGGCTGTATGTGTTTCAGCTGTGGTTCTGGTCCTGACAGGCTGACAGAATGCTTGCTAAGTGGATATCTAAACAGATGTCTAAGCACATATGCCTTCTCTGCTCCGGATTAACAGAAGGCCTGAATTTTTTGGAATCCTCTACACTGTTTATATTGTGATGTAAGAATTGGAAGCTGTTTTAGTTTTCTTTTAACGTGGCTGAAAAGGGGTTCCACTTCAAAATTATTAAATTGGAAATAGCATTTAATTCCAAATACTGTGCCATATAGCTCTGATTACAGCACATTTCCAGGCACTGTAGTCGTCTGTGTTTACAACTAGCCATTACCCCCCATCTCCAAATACCCCTAAGGACCAGGCCTTCTTTCTGCTGGTTGGTCCAGTGCCTGGTGGAGGGCTTGGCACATAATAGTTTTTGTTGAATAAATGAACCAGTAAGTTTTTAATGCCAGATGCCAAAATATTTCTTAAATGCAAACAGAAGTCACATATTCCTTTTGTTATGCCAATTTCAAAGTTCCAATCAACTATAAACACTCAGAACCCCTAAAAGGTAAAAAAATGTTGAAAACAATCATTTCTAATCCTCTTATTTTACTTTATATAAGGGTTCCTGAAGAATAGAGCACAGAAGAATTTTTTGGTGGACTTTAAGGGCATTATGTTAAGTGAAATAAGTCAGACAAAGAAAAATAAATACAGTGTGCTCTCACTTACATGTGAAATCTAAACAAACAAACAAACAAACAAAAATTTAACTCATAGATATAATGAACAGATTGGCGGCTGCCAGAGGCGGGGGGCTCAGGGTGGGTGAATTGGGTAAAGACGGTCAAAACTACAGACTTCTAGCTATAAAATAAATAAGTCCTGGGGATGTGATGTGCAGCATGTTGATGATAGATAACAGTAGAGTATTGTATATTTAAAAATTGCTAAGAGAGATCTTAAAAGTTCTCATAACAAGAAAAAAAGTGTAACTATTTGTGGTGATAGATGTTAACTAGATGTATCTTAAAAATCATTTCAAAATACATATAAATATTGAATTGCAATGTTGCTAACTTACATATACTGTTTTATATAAATTATACCGCAATTAAAAAAAAAAACCCCAAAAAACTAAAACTAAGATCCAGAAATAGTTTTGAGTCTTAATCCAGTGTTTTTCCTTTCATTCTATCTGGACTTTTCATACATATTTTTAAGTTTTTTTCTGTCAGTACAAACCAGTCTCTAAACATCGTTTTTTAGCAGCTTCATCAAACTCTTTAAATTTAGTCTCCACATTTTCACTAAAATCAAATTCGTAAAGCAGAGTTCTTGTGATCAGTTCTTTTCCAATATTAAACCACTAAAATATTTCCCTAATGATTGTCACTAGCTACTTCCAGCTACTACTCTCAGTGTATTCCCTTGCAGATACCACACAAAAGAATGTCTCCAAAGAAAGAAATCCTAATGATAAAAAGGGAACAAAAGATAAGTCATGTAAAGTACAGTTCAGGCTTGATTAAATCTCAAAATATCTTGTAAACCTATGGTCAGATATGCTAAAGAGGCAACCTCTTGGTTTTGCCTGACTAGTTATAATCTTGCTTGTTATATTCAAATCATTTATTCCTTGTTTTCTCGGGCAGGAGCAAATATTACAACTCATGACCTTAGAGATGCTCTTGTTGAGGGGCAGAAAAGAGGAGAATGCCCTTAGTAAGAAGAAAATAAGCTAGAATATATTGGCATATATAGATTTTACAAGGTGTTTGTGAACTGAATCGTACTCTAAAGAAATTGAAGAATTTCTGCTGCCAAAGAATCTTGGGAAAAATCTTTTGTAAGTAAAAAAAAACAAAAACAACTAAAGTACAAATATAAAAATGTCCATAATACCTCGCTTTCTGTCAAAGGCAGATATGGCTGCTGATATGAAACCAAGTAATAGACTCATGGCCTCTCTTTTTGCCTTGAAATGGGACACCCGCTTGACTTGGAAGAACTAAAGGACATCGTGTTCCATTCCTTAAACAATCCAAATAATTGAAAATAAGCAGTGGTACTTACTTGTATACATAGAATCCCCCCTTCTCTGCCCAAGCTTGTACTTGCCCCTTCCAGCTGGCATTTCCGTGCTTGAATGCCAAGAGCTAGTTGAGGATCCTTCTCTTTTCCAGACAGTCAGGCCCTTCTTCCTCTGAGCACAAACGCTTCTCTATCTTCAAACTTCTACCTAAGGTTAGAATTGTGTTATGCTTGTCTCCTCACCCTGCTTTCCGCCCCCAGGCAAGACTAGGAGCAACATGATGTCAGGAATTGAATTTTACTTGTTTTTGTAACCCTAGTCCTTGCAGTGCCTGGCTCAGGGGTGCTTAATACATGCTTGGGAAGTGACTCAACAGCACTCCCAGGAAACTCTGGCCAATACAGCGATGTAGGAGGATTACCTTCATTTTCAGTAATAGAAGCATTACCCTTTCTGGAACACTATCGGCAACCTTGAGTCACCTGTGGCGGTCCATGCCTGAGGACACTGTGCCCTCCAAAGTAATACTGTGTCAGACTATTTTTGGATTCCTTTCTCTAACTTAACAAAAAAATGTTTTGCTTTTGTTGTTAATTTCCTTTAGAAGAACCTCCACAATAGGAATGCTTTTTAAATATTATTTCATTTAACTCTCACAACAACCGTATGAGAAGGGTTGCTTAAGAGTTAGAGATGAAAAGTTGAAGGCTCAGGGAGGTTAAGTCATTACCACAAAGTATCAAGAATCACTCTAGAATTTGGACCCATGTATATCTTACCCTGAACTGTGCTCTTTCAAATTGACTATGCTGATTGATTCCACTTTTTAATCTGTTCTTGATCATTAGTGCCAGCTTCACTCAAGAGTGAGGTAGCCTGCCTCTAAGTAAACCCCAGGTGACCCTCAATTCCTGGTATCAACATCCTGTAGTCCCTTCCCACATTGTCTCAAGGTTGATATGTGTGACGAGTACGTGGCAAAAGGTATGCCACTTCTGAGATTAGTTATAAAATGCTGCAGCTTCCATTTGGAGCACTCTCTTGCCAGCTCACTCTACCTCTTCCTGTTGGATCTCTCACTGTGATGCAAGCAAACTGCCATATTGTGACTAGTCTTTTGGTGAGGTCCATGTGACAAAAGACTGAAGCCTGCAGCCAACAGACAGGGAAGAACTGATTCTTGTCAATGATCATTTAAGTGAGCTCGAATGAAGGTGATCCAGTTGTTCCAGCCTTGAGATGACTGTAGTCCTGGCTTACTATGAGACCTGACTGTAACTTATGAGACCTTGAACCAGAACCACCCAGCTCAGCTGCTCCTAGATTCCTGACACTCAGATACTATGTGAGGTAATAAATGGTTGATGTTTTAAGATGCTAACTTTTGGGGGTAATTTGTTACACAGCAATAGGTTAACTAATACACAGGAGAGACACATAAGTCTCTCCATCAGCTTTCCAGTATAATTGGGGACAGAAAACTTTAGTCTCTAAAATCACACCATTTAGCCTACTGCCTGCCTCAGCTCACATGATGATGGATAAAGACCTTTATTAGACTAAAGTGCTGTTGTCCAAGCCTTGCTTCTAGTGTATCAAATCTGAAGAGAAACAGACCAATAATAATTTTTCACAATTTAGCAATTGGTGGGCAAACGTTCCCTCTTAAGCCTTTGACTCTTCCCTAGGCTCTGGTAGGTGGTTATTTATAGCTGATTCTGAGTTATTGCTGCATAATATCCCCACATGCAGTTTGCACAGTATTTATTGAGCAGCCTTTAATGATGAATAGAGTGAGAAACACCAGGCAAAGAATATGGTAATAACAGTACATAAATTTTATTTTCATTTAGCATGAAAACACCTGATTTCCTTCAACACTATAAACATGTCACATTATTAGGCAGTGAAAGGCTGATGAATTTAGACGTTCATTTAGACATTGTTTTGAACGGAAAATGTACTTTAATTCCACTTGCCTACACTATTACAGATCATTTTATTTTTGTTTTAATACATTTCAGTCTGTTTTAATTAAAAACAAAATCCCAAGAAGAGAAAGCAACTGGGAAGTTTTCTAAGGATGAGATTTGTTATTTAAAAGACATTATACTTCTTCTCCTGAGAACAGAAGCAGCCTCAGGATAGAACACTTTAGGGTCAGAGTTAGCAAATATCTCATGTTTTGTAGTTAATAAACAAGATTAAAACTAAGTGTTCAGGATGAAACTCAGCTAGACCACTTTTTTAAGGCAAAATAAAAAATGCATTAATTATCTACAATTTTGTCATTAAAGAAGGGAATTTCTGGGAAGGGAATGTATTTCTAGACATAACTTTAAGAAATAGATACCTACAAGCTTAAGTTACTGCCCGGTAGAAAGGCAGTCAAATGTCTCAGCAACAGCTTAATTATTGTTAAGCTCATGATTTGTTGTTCATTAGCATAATGAGTTTTCTACCACCAAGATTCTGTCAGTTGTTGTAATAGAAACTCCTGCTTTTAGCGCTTATCATTCTGCTGGTAAAAAAAAAAAAAAAGGTTCTGGCCCATCTAAAATCTAAAAGCAGGGTAAATAAGCTCTCCACGTGGGTGCCAGTATGGGCGTTTTGAAAACAGGAAACGAGAGAAAACCTATGTGCTGTTAACTACAACGCTAGTTCCAATCATACAGCAGGGTGGAGGCTTTATGTGACTCAGCAGTGCCCTTTACACTGAACACAATGAGGGCCTATAGGTGGGACTGTAATGAGTCAAGGTGATAGGCCAACAATGTTTCCAAAGGAAAACAAATTAAAGAGTGGTCACAGGGTCTGACATCCAACCGGGTAAGTTAGTTCTAAATTACATTTCACAGACGATTAGGTGACATGATCAGGAGGTGAGGATGGGGTGGGGAAGGCAGAGGGAACACTGAGGTGACAGCCCTGGATAACTGTATTCTCAGGATGTACGGCTGATTTGTAGGGTGACATAAAGTGAGGTGCCAGGATTTATCAAGAGTACTTTTATTTAGTGGAGAAAATACATTCATCCCTTGGTATCTGTGAGGGGGTTGGTTCCAGGACCCCCCCTCCCACACATACACACACACAAATCTTCAGATGCTCAAGTCCTTTATATAAAATGGCATAGAATTTGTATATATATATATATATATATATATATATATATATATATATTCTACATACATATTCCCATATACTTTAAATCATCTCTAGATTACTTATAATCCCTAATACAATGTAAAATCTATGTAAATAGTTGTTATGCTGTATCGCTTTGGGAATAATGACAAGAAAAAAGAGGTCTGTACGTTTCAGTACAGACACATCATCGTAGGCCTAACTACATAGTACATGTCAGCCCTGATGTTACATTTCCCCTTGAATGCTTTCCATCTGTGGTTTGTTGAATCTGTGGATGTAGAACCTGTGAATATGGAGAGTTGACTGTATTTGAAATTGACAACTTGAAACGATTATAAGATAAACTATTATAAGACCCCTTTCTTTTAAACAAATAGTCCCTCCCTTCTATCCTCTTGCTGTCCCCAGATCTCTTGGCCACCGTGTAGCTGGAAAGAGCAGAAGACCTAGAGAGAGAGAGAATGAGGAGTCCCCAAAAAACTCTATCAATGACCAACTCTAACCTCTTTTATTCTCCCAATCATGGTTGAAGGACATGCTTTGAGCTGTTTGTTCCAGGAATCACTATTTTCAATTGCTTAATAATGTGCACACTCTCTTGTTTGCAAATGATAGAAACCAAAGTTCAACAAGTTTAGGGAAAAATAGAAGAGAAGAGGAGAGAAGAAGGGGGGAAAGGAGAGAAGGGGAGGGAACGGAAGGAAAGCGAAGGGAAGACAGACAAAAGCATTTGACTGATGAAACTAAAAACCCAGGTGTGGCTGTTGAGTTGAAGCTCTGTTCCTGACACGCTAAAACTAAATGCTCCAACGATATCACCAGGGTTTGATCTCTCAACTCTGTTTTCCTGGTGTTGGCTTCATATTCAGGTTCTCTCTCAATATGATAAGAATGATGGTCCTAGAGTTCAAGGCTGACATAGCCACCAGCACTCATGATCCCAGAAAAAAAGTGCGTCTCTTACAACAGCTTTGAAGGGAAGCATTGGGGGGTGAATTTTCACAGGCCCAGCTCGGGTCCCATACCCATCCACAGGCAAATAAATTACTGTGGCAAATAGGATGGGATATGTTGATTGGCTAGGACTGAGCCATATGCCCAGAGGGAGAGACTGAGGAGGATACTGAGTACACAAAAAAGCTCATTTTTACTATAGAAAAGGCAACACATAAAATCTCAGAAAACATGTGCAAATTATATATCTGATAAGAGGTTGATACCCAGGATATATAAAGAATTTCTTCAATTCAACAACAAGAAAAGCAAACAACCCAATTTAAAACATGAGCAAAGGATCAAATAGACATTTCTCCAAAGAAGACATACAAATGTCCCATGAGCACATGAAAAGATGTTCAACATCACTAATCATTATAGAAATGCAAATAAAAACCACAATAAGATACCACCTCACTCATATTAGAATGGCTAAATCAAAAAACATGAAATAACAATGATAAGGATATGGAGAAATTGGTATCCTATGCATTCTTAGTGGAATGTAAAATGGTGCAGATGCTATGAAAAGCAGTGTGGCAGGTCCTCAAAATTTTAAAAATAGATTTACCATATGGTCCAATAATTTCACTTCTGGGTATATACCCAGAATACTGAAAACAGGGACTTAAACAGATATTTGTACACCCATGTTCACATCACCTTTATTTGCAACAGCTAAAAGGTGGAAGCAACCCAAGCGTTCATCAATGGATGAATGAATACACAAAATGTGGTGTATACCTACAACGGAACATTATTCAGCCTTAAAAAGGAAGAAAAATCTGAGACACACCATGACATGGATGAGCCTTGAGGACATTATGCTAAGAGAAATAAGCCAGTCTCAAAAGGATGAACACTGCACGATTACACTTATATAAGGTACCTAAAGTAATCAAATTCATAGAGACAGAAGGTGGACTAGTGGGCCCAAGGGCTGGGGGGAACGGGGGGAGGGAGTTGTTGTTCCATGGGTGCAGGGTTTCAGTTCTGCAAGCTGTAAAGAGCCCTGGGGATGAATGGTGGTGATAGTAGTACAACAATGTAAAGGTACTGAATACCACTGCTGTACACTTAAAAATGGTAAATTTTATGTGTATTTTACAATTAAAAAGAAAGTCATGTCCATTGTAGAATTTTAGAAAATGTATAATG